ACTCGCATATGTGAGCACAGGTCTGTGTGTGCCATGATATGTGTGCATCAGTTAGAGACAACCTAAGGAGCTGGTCCTCATCCTCCACTTTTTTGAGGCAGAGTCTCTCACTCAAGGCTGCACATTCCAGGCTAGTGGGCCCAGGGGCTTCCAGGGGCTTTCCTAACCACGAGTCCCAATTCTTCCTATGAGAATTGGAATTATGCACTACCGTGCTCAGATTTACGTTAGTCCTGGAGATCCAAACTATGATCCTTCTGCTTTTGTGGCAAACACTTTACCCCTGAGCCGTCTTCCCAGCTCAGACCTTCCTCTCTTTAAAGAAAGTGGACAGCCACATCCCCATGACGACTGGGTGAGACAATTAGGAAAGCCAGGAGCACAGAAAAGCAGGATCTGCACATGAAAATGAGGTTGCTCATGAGGAGGCCCCTTAGGGACTCTAAGTCTGGCTCTGCATTTCCTGGCGTATCCAAGGGCAGCAGCAGCAACAACATTTCAAATAGGCAAAGGGAAAGTGAATTTTGTGGTCACTGAAGAGCAGACTCGGGCAGATCTGGGCAATGCGGGTTCTTAGCTGCTCCTGAAACAGCCATCTAGGAGGATCTGGCTGGCTGCAGAAGCCCAGAAACAGAATGGCTTGCTCTCCAGTGTTGATGCAGGATCAGGGGAGACCGTGTTGGCACTGATTTTCTTGTCTATATCCTATAAAACACACCATGTTCCAGCTTGTTCTTAGAAAGATCCATTAGAGTGAGTTTGGGGACTTTATTCTTTTACAGGAATGTTCAAAGCTGACAGCTGTGACACAATGAAGTAATAAGCTGAACCCTGCCAATGACGATCCTTAGTAGGGAGGCCAGATTAAAGCCAGACTTCAAGTGAACTTCAGTATTCCCAAGATATTACTGACCTAGGAAATGGCTGTCTCTTTCTGCAGCCTGGTTAAGAATGTGAGCAATGGTGGCATCCTAGATCAAAACAGGTCTCTATGTTACTAAAGGGAACGAGCCTGTGCTGTGGAAATTTCCATCTGGAGCCCACAGAGTTCTCCATTATTCCCCTGCAGGCAGATGCCTTTAAAAGACAGATCCATAATTCGGTTTCCTTTCTGGTAATTCAATTCGCTGTCTGCTGTGTTTCTGGAGCCTTCTTGTTTAGCACGGCCTTGGGCTCACACCTGGGCCATTTAGCACAGGAGGGTACATCTGGAAATGCCACACTTGGTGGCGGCTGGCTTCTGAGATGAAAACTCAGGGGGGGCTGTTGTAATAAAAACAAGACAAACACTTAGCTAGTCACTGTTAGAAGGCTGCTGGTTCCAGGAAGCCCAGGGCTAAATACGGCCTTTGAGAAGCTCCAGGCAGCAGACGACAAAGGCATGTTTAAAGTCCCTGTCTGTGTCCTGATGTCAACAGGGCAATCAGCCCTGTCCTCAGAGGAGAGGAAGTGGGGAATGAGGACTGCCCCTACCTCAGCACTCACAACAGCGTTCACACACAAGTCCTCACTTGTCTCTGATGCCTGCAGGCAGCCAGAGAGCTTTGGCACATCGGAGCTACTGCTGTCAGGACCGATGGTTAATGAGTTCAAACCAAAGTCACCTTTCACTGTGGGCTTTGGGGTGATGTGCCCTGAAATTTTCTTGAAGCTGAGCTCATTTTCAGAGTTGCAGCGTCAGCCACAGCAGGACCTGCAGTCTCCTGAGGAAGCTGACAAACCGATCTCCGGGCCCTGGTCCCACTCCAGAGATGACAGGACAGTGACCATCATGCAGAAGCATTAAGACCTGTACCTGCCGATCACTGGAAAAAGGGAAGAGCCGAGCTTTGCCGAACAGCAGTGTGGTCTGACACACTGACTTCACATGCCAGCGCCCAGGCCCTTCCTTCCCTGTGGACAGTGTAAACTGCAAGGCCTAGGGAGATGAAAAATGACATCTCATCCGTACCTGCCGCATCAAACTGTCCCAAACCTATGGTGGGACACAACTACCAAAAACGGAAATTTGAAAAATTCATGAGATTATTTTTCAAATTTTATACAAATCAATAAAAATATGTAAATGAAACAGTTGATTACATAGAAAATATTATTTACCAAAATGATTGCATTACCAATAGAAAGTTTTAATAGCCCACTTTTTGCAGAATAAGTAGAGAAAATTTTACAGGATTTTTTTTCCACAACAAAAGCACCAGCCCAAAGGGTCTCCTAGAATGTAAAAATTTTCAAACACCATATATTTTGGTGTATAAAATATAGAGGTAGATTTCCTAATTATTTTTCTGAAGCAAATACAACATTGATACTTAAACCTAGCATAGAAGTATCAGTGCAAAAACCCTAAAATAAATATTAGCCAGCAGATTCTACATCCGCTATGATTTGACAGTTTTCCTTGAGAAGCATGGGTTGGAAATTATTTCACTCCCAAAGGAACATGGTTGGGAAGGGAGTCCCAATAAGGTTCCACCTTCATGATTGGGTCAGTGCTGTTATCTTGGGAGTAAGTTCATTGAGAAGGCTAAATTCAGTCTACCTCATTTTTCTTCCCCCTTTGTCTCTTGCCCCTCCCCCCCCCTTTTTTTTTTTTGCTTTTGAATGAACAAAACAGAAAGGTTACCATCAGATGTAAGCTGCTTGACTTTCCGACATTCTATTATGATAGTATAAGATAGACTCAGCTATCACCGGTTTAGAAAAATAACCCAATGTGACCAAGGGGGAAGATTTATTCCCAGAACGCAAGGTTGATTCAGCATGACAAAAACATATACTGTATAAACTGAATCTAGGAGGGCTCACATGATAAGTCTCTGCTAATGCTGGGGGGAAAATACTGATAAAATCGACATTTATTTCTAATTTTAAAAAGACTCTGGAAACTAGAGGTCTTAACGTGAAATAATACATAAACCTTAGTTCTAAAGTCTGCATCTCTTTAGTGAAGAGTCCCTGGAGTCCTTCCCAGTAAGACTGGGAAGGAGACAGAGGACCCATCATCTATCTCCACTATTGTCCACCACTGTGCTGCCCATGTGAGCCACAGCATCCAGATAAAGGGAACCAGTGAGGAGCATGGAGTTGGAAAACATAAAGTAAAATTATGTCTATTTGCAGATGATATAACAGTATCTCTAAAAAATTTAAGAGAATCAGTGTTCAAATTAATCCAAACAATAAAAAACTAAGCTAGCTAGAAAGATTATAAATTGAAGCAGAAATCCCAGTAATCCTTAGATATACAAAGATAAGTAAAAATATGTACTAATGAATAAATCTCCACTTACATTAGTAATAATAAATGCACAGAAATACACTTAAAAACACGCATAACTTAGAGGCGGGACACTTGTCAGTGTTCACGAGAGACACAAAGCAGGCGTGAATAAACGGAGTGGCAGCCCTTGTTCTTGGGTGAAAACTCAACATCATAAGGACGTCAGTTTCCCGAAATTTATTTATAAATACTTTAATAAAAATAAACTCTTTATAGGATACACATATAGCTATAAAAACCATGTAGAAAAACTATCAAGTTTCCAGGCCCCTGATGTTTTACAGGAAAAGCCACGAGGGCTGTCTTGTCCTACCTCACATTAAATCATTCCACAGCATCTCTGTAACTGAACATGTGAGGTAGTGGCGCCTGTATGAAAGGAGATTAGCAGAACGGGACGGAAATCCAGAAACAAGCTCCAGTGCATGTGGGAATTTAGTGTGTGTGTGGGGTGTCATCCTAAGTCTGAATTTGGGGCAGTGCTGGGCTATGGCAAAATGGTGACAGACAAGCCAGTATTCAGTGTATTTCTGCTACAGGTATTTGGGAAAGAGATAACATGAGACCTTACACCAGCTACATAAAAAACAAACAAACAAACAAACAAACAAAAAACTCCAGGTTCAAAAGAAGAACAGAAGGAAACAAACACAGACGAATCCCTCCATGAACCGGGTATGCAGAAAGACTATAATAACAAGAAACGCTTGGTAAGTCATACTATGAAAAATGTAAAAATATTTGCATGATCAGACAGGACTGCTAATTCATTTTTTGGGTGCATGGATTTTAGAGGAACTCTTTTACTCTACCCCCAAATGTTCGCTTCAATCTACCACAAAAGTGGTGCCACCTTACCCAAATGAGCCATTGTAAATTTTCACTGAACAGCAGTACAGGAGGGAAAGAATGGGACGTGGAGAGGGAGGGGGAACGAGGGGGGGAAGGGGGCGAGGGGGAGCGAGGGGGGCGAGGGGGAGCGAGGGGAACCCCGTTTGTGTCGGCGCTGCCTCCAGCTTTACCTTCTTCAGTTTCGTGTATGCTCCGTTGTGGTTGCCCTGTGCCAGCTCTGCCCTGCCCAGGACCCGGTATGTTTCTGCCACCTCAGGACTGAAGTCACCAAATGCTCCTACTTTGGCTTCCAGGGACTCTCTCAGGATCATGGTTGCTCTCTGAGAAAAGGACACAATGAAGGCTGTGTGGTTTAAACGTTCAAAAGATTGCTCAGTGGTGAAGGGCGCTTGCTATGGCTGCTGAGGACCTGGGTTCGGCTCTCAGCACCCACCTGGTAGCTTACAACCTCTGTAGCTCCACTTCCAGGAGATCCATGACTGCCCCGCCCTGGCCTCTGCAGGCATCGGGCGTGCAAGTGGTACACAGATACACATGAAGCAACACACACACACACACACACACACACACACACACACACACACACACACACACACCACCACCACCACCACCATCATCATCATCATCATCATCTTCTGACCCAGGAGGAGGCCAAGGCACAGAGCAACAGCTGAGAACTTCTTTGTTCCTATAGGGCTCATCAATGGTGGAGCTGGAATCTGTTCCCTAGCCCCTTTAGGGCTCATCAGTGGTAGAGCTGGAATCTGTTCCCTAGCCCCTTTAGGACTCATCAGTGTTGGAGCTGGAATCTGTTCCCTAGCCCCTTTAGGGCTCATCAGTGGTAGAGCTGGAATCTGTTCCCCAGCCCCTTTAAGGCTCATCAGTGGTGGAGCTGGAATCTGTTCCCTAGCCCCTTTAGGGCTCATCAGTGGTGGAGCTGGAATCTGTTCCCTAGCCCCTTTAAGGCTCATCAGTGGTGGAGCTGGAATCTGTTCCCCAGGCCCTTTAGGGCTCATCAGTGGTGGAGCTGGAATCTGTTCCCTAGCCCCTTTAGGGCCACGCTCTTCTCCCTCTGTGCACACCACTGTTCTCCCATAAGAGAAAACGAGGCTGCACTTGTGGGTCATGCTTCCGGACTGTCTATTCTCGCAGAGAATGCTTAGGAAGCCCAAAGTAAACATTTCCATGGAACATGATATCACATTTTGTTTGCCTTGTCCTATTTATTTATACCAACATGGAATAGAAAAATATGAGTTGGTCAGAAAACAGTATTTCCTGATTATTCATTTTTGCAGATACCAAGGCACACAGGGGGCAAGTCTGAACTTCCAACACATCCTGAAATTCTTCCCAGATCTTCCACATGAGAACACAGTTATGACTGCACAGCATGAATGCTGAATTCAATGGCCAAATAAAGCCAGGGAGGGCCACAGGAAGGGTTTCCCACAGCACAGCCCTGGGGCGCAGAGGGGAGGGGGTAGGTGCACTTCCTGATCGTACGCCACAGACAGGCGGGCGTGTAAATGAAGAACATTGTTCCTTTTTGGTAATAACCTGAGTTAGGGATTAGGGCTGGCACACTAAAGGTGGTGATGAGCAGAAATCAGTTTCTTAGGGAAAACGACTGTGTAACTTGCCAGGTATGGCTCATGAAAGCAATCGAAGGTCTAGGGTCACCATGCAGACCTGCCTGTGCCCATCCCATCCCAACACCGGTGAGCAAGGACTTAGACGGAAGCAAGAATTGGGTGAGGTGACCTTCCCAGGGGATTTGACTGCCGGGCTTTGGGGAAGCCAGTCCACGATGGGGAGAAGTGCCAGAGGTCCTTTTCCTGAACGAAGCCCTGACCGCTGCTTCAGTTGACTAGGGAGACCAGGGATGGATGTGTGGCAAGTTAAAAGGCATGTTCTCACGACAATGGAAAACAGACAGGAAAACTGAATGGAGAGGACCCAGAATTATCCAGCTTTGGATGAGAGAAGAGGGCATGGGCACCCGAGAGCCCAGGAGAAGCACACAGCCTGTGTCGGGGCTACTGAGTAGACTGATTTGACCATAGCAAAGCATGTAGGGAGGAAGAGAGAGGCAAGGCTGGTGGATGCTTAGCTTCTGCAAAGGACAGAGGTTTGTATTTTCTCACAGAACATCTTAGTCTGCAGCACAGTGGCCTTCACTTACTTTTTACTGTGAAAATCATTTCCTCCCCAGAGGTTACCTTGCTGCTGGTGCGAGCCAGCCTGTGAATAGGCTGTAATCACATTTGGGATGGTTTAGGTGAGATATCATGCTCACCTGTGCCAGGGTCCTTATAGGACCAGCTCTCGATGGACACTCCTGCTACACCCCCTGGTGAGAGGTCTGTAAGGCAGGGTAAAAAGAACATGAGGCCACCATGTGTGGCTGGGCAGGCTGGGCCACTGCAGGGGGCACCTGGCAGGAGAAGGAGAGCTGACCCCTTGGCCATGTTGTATTCTGTCAACAATGTGCCCTGGATTGGCTGTGTGTACCGAAGGAAGGGATTACTTTGCTATCCCTTTGAAACACAGAAGGGCATGAAGTGATTCTGGAATGAAAGAGCCAGTTTGTTAAACTCTCCAAGGGCAGTCTGGGAGAGCAAGGCACATCCTTTAACCAAGACTACTGATTGGTGCGAGACACATGAGGAGCAACGCTGGGCATCAGCTGCCTCTACACTGTGGCAGGAAGGCTGGGAACTAAAAACTAAGATTGAGTACCTGGACTGTGGAAGGGGAACTAAGATTGAGTACCTGGACTGTGGAAGGTAAGAATCACCTGGCCAACAACCAGGCATCCGTTCCAAATCCATTAACTCCACCGTGAGCAAGAAGGTCCTTGCTCTCACAGAACTCAGCTCGGTTCTATGAGCAATATTAAATATCTATATAAATTTATACTGCAACTATTCCACTACGTCAGTGGGATTCTGTAACAAAGAATCAGAAGAGTCCAACGCCAGCAAGGGAGGGAAGCAGGGAGCTAAAGGATGGCACTGGCCTCGAAAGAGTCGGGGAGGGCCTACCAGAAGGAAATGAAAGAAGAGACCAGCCATGGGGGGGGGGCAGTGTTAGAAAAGACAGTATGGGCGGGGGGAGACAGATCAGTCTTGAAAAGTACCTTCAAGCATAAGGACCTGAGTTCGATCCCCAGAACCCAACATAAAAATGCCAGGTGTGGTGGCATGCACTTGCAATCCCAGAACCAGGAAGCAAAGACAAAAGGTTCCCTGGGGCTTGCTGGTCAGCCAGTCCAGCCTAACTGGTGAGCTGCAGCCCAATGAAAGACCCT